ATTTCGGGTTTTTAGCTATTATTTGTGATCACTTTTTTAAGGAGGAAAAATAGCATACTTTAAAATGGCCATAACTCCTTAAATATTGACATTTCGGGGTTTTTACCTATTATTTGTGATCAGTTTTCTAAAGAGGAAAAATAGCATACTTTAAAATGGCCATAACTCCTTAAATATTGACATTTCGGGGTTTTTACCTATTATTTGTGATCAGTTTTCTAAAGAGGAACAATAGCATACTTTAAAATGGCCATAACTCCTTAAATATTGACATTTCGGGGTTTTTACCTATTATTTGTGATCAGTTTTCTAAAGAGGAAAAATAGCATACTTTAAAATGGCCATAACTCCTTAAATATTGACATTTCGGGGTTTTTAGCTATTATTTGTGATCACTTTTTTAAGGAGGAAAAATAGCATACTTTAAAATGGCCATAACTCCATAAATATTGACATTTCGGGGTTTTTACCTATTATTTGTGATCAGTTTTCTAAAGAGGAAAAATAGCATACTTTAAAATGGCCATAACTCCTTAAATATTGACATTTCGGGGTTTTTACCTATTATTTGTGATCAGTTTTCTAAAGAGGAACAATAGCATACTTTAAAATGGCCATAACTCCTTAAATATTGACATTTCGGGGTTTTTACCTATTATTTGTGATCAGTTTTCTAAAGAGGAAAAATAGCATACTTTAAAATGGCCATAACTCCTTAAATATTGACATTTCGGGGTTTTTAGCTATTATTTGTGATCACTTTTTTAAGGAGGAAAAATAGCATACTTTAAAATGGCCATAACTCCTTAAATATTGACATTTCGGGGTTTTTACCTATTATTTGTGATCAGTTTTCTAAAGAGGAACAATAGCATACTTTAAAATGGCCATAACTCCTTAAATATTGACATTTCGGGGTTTTTACCTATTATTTGTGATCAGTTTTCTAAAGAGGAAAAATAGCATACTGTAAAATGGCCATAACTCCTTAAATATTGACATTTCGGGGTTTTTAGCTATTATTTGTGATCACTTTTTTAAGGAGGAAAAATAACATACTTTAAAATGGCCATAACTCCTTAAATATTGACATTTCGGTTTTTTTTAGCTATTATTTGTGATCAGTTTTCTAAAGAGGAAAAATAGCATACTTTAAAATGGCCATAACTCCTTAAATATTGACATTTCGGGGTTTTTAGCTATTATTTGTGATCACTTTTTTAAGGAGGAAAAATAGCATACTTTAAAATGGCCATAACTCCATAAATATTGACATTTCGGGGTTTTTACCTATTATTTGTGATCAGTTTTCTAAAGAGGAAAAATAGCATACTTTAAAATGGCCATAACTCCTTAAATATTGACATTTCGGGGTTTTTACCTATTATTTGTGATCAGTTTTCTAAAGAGGAACAATAGCATACTTTAAAATGGCCATAACTCCTTAAATATTGACATTTCGGGGTTTTTACCTATTATTTGTGATCAGTTTTCTAAAGAGGAAAAATAGCATACTTTAAAATGGCCATAACTCCTTAAATATTGACATTTCGGGGTTTTTAGCTATTATTTGTGATCACTTTTTTAAGGAGGAAAAATAGCATACTTTAAAATGGCCATAACTCCATAAATATTGACATTTCGGGGTTTTTACCTATTATTTGTGATCAGTTTTCTAAAGAGGAAAAATAGCATACTTTAAAATGGCCATAACTCCTTAAATATTGACATTTCGGGGTTTTTACCTATTATTTGTGATCAGTTTTCTAAAGAGGAACAATAGCATACTTTAAAATGGCCATAACTCCTTAAATATTGACATTTCGGGGTTTTTAGCTATCATTTGTGATCAGTTTTCTAAAGAGGAAAAATAGCATACTTTAAAATGGCCATAACTCCTTAAATATTGACTTTTCGGGGTTTTTAGCTATTATTTGTGATCACTTTTTTAAGGAGGAAAAATAGCATACTTTAAAATGGCCATAACTCCTTAAATATTGGCATTTCGGGGTTTTTAGCTATTATTTGTGATCACTTTTTTAAGGAGGAAAAATAGCATACTTTAAAATGGCCATAACTCCTTAAATATTGACATTTCGGGGTTTTTAGCTATTATTTGTGATTAGTTTTCTAAAGAGGAAAAATAGCATACTTTAAAATGGCCATAACTCCTTAAATATTGACTTTTCGGGGTTTTTAGCTATTATTTGTGATCACTTTTTTAAGGAGGAAAAATAGCATACTTTAAAATGGCCATAACTCCTTAAATATTGACATTTCGGGGTTTTTAGCTATCATTTGTGATCAGTTTTCTAAAGAGGAAAAATAGCATACTTTAAAATGGCCATAACTCCTTAAATATTGACATTTCGGGGTTTTTAGCTATCATTTGTGATCAGTTTTCTAAAGAGGAAAAATAACATACTTTAAAATGGCCATAACTCCTTAAATATTGACTTTTCGGGGTTTTTAGCTATTATTTGTGATCACTTTTTTAAGGAGGAAAAATAGCATACTTTAAAATGGCCATAACTCCTTAAATATTGACATTTCGGGGTTTTTAGCTATTATTTGTGATTAGTTTTCTAAAGAGGAAAAATAGCATACTTTAAAATGGCCATAACTCCTTAAATATTGGCATTTCGGGGTTTTTAGCTATTATTTGTGATTAGTTTTCTAAAGAGGAAAAATAGCATACTTTAAAATGGCCATAACTCCTTAAATATTGACATTTCGGGGTTTTTAGCTATTATTTGTGATTAGTTTTCTAAAGAGGAAAAATAGCATACTTTAAAATGGCCATAACTCCTTAAATATTGACTTTTCGGGGTTTTTAGCTATTATTTGTGATCACTTTTTTAAGGAGGAAAAATAGCATATTTTAAAATGGCCATAACTCCTTAAATATTGACATTTCGGGGTTTTTAACTATTATTTGTGATCAGTTTACTAAAGAGGAAAAATAGCATACTTTAAAATGGCCATAACTCCTTAAATATTGACATTTCGGGGTTTTTAGCTATTATCTGTGATCACTTTTTTAAGGAGGAAAAATTGCATACTTTAAAATGGCCATAACTCCTTAAATATTGACATTTCGGGGTTTTTAGCTATTATTTGTGATCACTTTTTTAAAGAGGAAAAATAGCATACTTTAAAATGGCCATAACTCCTTACATATTGACATTTCGGGGTTTTTAGCTATTATTTGTGATCACTTTTTTAAAGGGGAAAAATAGCATACTTTAAAATGGCCATAACTCAACAAAGAGGAAAAATAGCATACTTTAAAATGGCCATAACTCCTTAAATATTGACATTTCGGGGTTTTTAGCTATTATCTGTGATCACTTTTTTAAGGAGGAAAAATTGCATACTTTAAAATGGCCATAACTCCTTAAATATTGACATTTCGGGGTTTTTAGCTATTATTTGTGATCACTTTTTTAAAGGGGAAAAATAGCATACTTTAAAATGGCCATAACTCCTTAAATATTGACATTTCGGGGTTTTTAGCTATTATTTGTGATCACTTTTTTAAAGAGGAAAAATAGCATACTTTAAAATGGCCATAACTCCTTAAATATTGACATTTCGGGGTTTTTAGCTATTATTTGTGATCACTTTTTTAAAGAGGAAAAATAGCATACTTTAAAATGGCCATAACTCCTTAAATATTGACATTTCGGGGTTTTTAGCTATTATTTGTGATCACTTTTTTAAAGGGGAAAAATAGCATACTTTAAAATGGCCATAACTCAACAAAGAGGAAAAATAGCATACTTTAAAATGGCCATAACTCCTTAAATATTGACATTTCGGGGTTTTTAGCTATTATTTGTGATCACTTTTTTAAAGAGGAAAAATAGCATACTTTAAAATGGCCATAACTCAACAAAGAGGAAAAATAGCATACTTTAAAATGGCCATAACTCCTTAAATATTGACATTTCGGGGTTTTTAGCTATAATTTGTGATCAGTTTTTTAAAGAGGAAAAATAGCATACTTTAAAATGGCCATAACTCCTTAAATATTGACATTTCGGGGTTTTTAGCTATTATTTGTGATCCCTGCTGTCTTCGTATAGCCCCCATATAACGGTACCCCCCGATATTCGGTATTCTGATGATTTTAGCGTCATTGTTTACCGGAATTATTTCAAATTTTGTATTTTAAGTTCGTAATGGATATCACAGCCGAGGACAGAAAATGAGCCATGTAGGTCCACGTCTTCGTATAGCCCCCATATAACGGTATTCTGATGATTTTAGAGACATTATTTACCGGAACTATTTCAAATTTTGTATTTGAAGTTCGTAATGAATACTACAGCCTATGACAAAAAATTGTCTGAGCAGGTCCAGGTCTTCGTATAGCCCCCATATAATGGTACCCCCCGATATTCGGTATTCTGATGATTTTAGCGTCATTGTTTACCGGAATTATTTCAAATTTTGTATTTTAAGTTCGTAATGGATACTACAGTCTATGACAGAAAATTGTCTGTGCAGGACCACGTTTTATAACCCCCATGGTACCTCCTTATATTCGGTATATTGATGATTTTAGCTACATTATAAACAGAGTTTTTTCAAGCTTCGCATTTGAATATTGTAATAGCTTGTGACAAAAGTTGCCTATGCAGGTCCATGTCTTCGTATAGACTCTAATATAACGAATATATTCGGTATTTTTAAGATTTTAACAGAATTTTTAACGGATTTTATTTTTTTGAAAATTGTTAAATTTTTACCAAATGGTGAAGGGTATTCAAAGTTCGGCCCGGTCGAACTTACAGCTTTTTTTCTCGTATTATTTTATTTTTTATAAAAAAAAAGTTCGAATTCAAACTTGAAATCCGTTACAAATATTTTACAAAATACCTGTTATCGATAAATCCAAGCCTTCGATTTCCATTTGTTTTAAAAAGAAGTTTTTTTTAATGGCCTCTGGTCAACACGGTGGCATCTCTTTCCTCCCCACAGCGGCAGCTGATAAACACATCCATGAGATGGATGTGTAACAACAACACCAGCAACAGTTGGTTTAGAACTGGTCATTCAAATAGACATTGGTTCGCTCGCTCCCTTGCTCTCTCTCGCTATACGAAATCCGCTAAAAAAACACTTGGAAACATGGTTTTAGATTTGGCAAAGAAAACCTATTTTCTAATAACTGGTGCTTCCCGTGGCATTGGCAAGTGCATGGCAATTGAAGTGGCCAAAAAACTGAAATCCGGTTCAGTAGTTGTTTTGGTGGCACGCGACCTGGTGGCCTTGGAAAAAACCAAAACAGAAATTGAATCGAAACGTTCTGACGTCACAGTGCTGGTATACTCCGTGGATTTGTCCAAAGCAAAGGCGGAAAATTTCCAAGAATTGTTAAGGAATTCCCTGAAGCAGGCCAATGCGAATGCTGATACCTTTGAGCGGGCTTTTATAATACACAATGCCGGTACTGTGGGTGATGTTTCCAAATCGGCCAAAGATGTAACAGACACCGCAATTTGGTTGGACTACTATCACACCAATGTATTTTCCACCATTGCCCTGAATGGGGAATTTTTCGAAGAGTTTTCAAAAATTCCCAAATTAGTCATCAACATCACTTCGCTGTGTGGCATTGAACCATTTGCCTCGATGAGTTACTATTGTTCCGGCAAGGCAGCCCGTGAAATGTATTTCAAAGTTTTGGCAGTTGAGGAAAAAGACACAGAGACTCAGGTACTCAATTATGCCCCCGGACCCATTGATACCGATATGACGGTGCTCATCCAAAGGGAGACCATTAACAAGGATCTACAGGAGACATTCAAAAGTCAACGAGAAAGCAAAACAATGCTCACTGCCGAACAAACCACCGCCAAATTTATCAAAATTTTGGAAGAAGTTGAATTCACATCTGGAGCTCACATTGACTTCTTTGACTAGCATGGATGTGGTGGTGGGTGAGGAGGTGAAAGTTGAAACGACGTCAGACGACAAACATTTCATGTACAGCGGCTTGTATGTATGTAACTTGTGTGCTCAAATTGTTTAACAACAAAGTTTGTAAAAAATATAGAACTAGAAAAACAGGTACAAGGTGGGTTGTTTGATTAGGATTTTTATTCAGGTTCTATGACATGGAGATAAAAACTGCAATAAAAGTTTGAGAAAACAACAAAAAAACAAGTAGGACAATAAAAATTTAGAATTAACATTTTATTAATTTATTAAATAAAAAATAGTAATTAATATTTATTTAAAAATATTTTAAATTTAAAAATTCGGCCGGTTATCCAAATGTGATCCAAAATGTGTAAAAAATTGTTGCAAATTGTACTGCTCACATAAGAGTTTTGAAAAAAAGACAGTGTTTCCAGAGAGAAACGTTTAGAGTTTTCAATGAATCCCTACGAAGTTATCTTCTGTTTCATCAATGGTATAATTATTACAGGTAGCAGCAAACCCCAGCAGATTTGACCTATAGTAATAATAGTGTCAAATTCGATATGACGTTTTTATACCCTCAACCATATGGGTACAGAGGGTATATATAATTTGATACGACCAAAACGTGCCTCATAAATAACGTTAAAACTGTTAAATAACAAAATAACGGTTAGGTCTCTTTGGATCAAATCCGTTTCAGGACATTTGGAGTCGATCTAGCGATGTCCGTCCGTCTGTCTGTCTGGATAACTCTCGAAAAGAGTGTCCGATTTGATCCAAAGTTGGTACATCGTAATATTATTCTCAAATTTAGATCAAGTTTGGAGATGGACAATATCAGTCCACTCCTTCTGGTACCTCCCACACAAAATGTAAAAATTTTCAAAGAAAATAATTTGCTGCACAAAAAGAGAAAGGATAATACGACTTTGCTCTAACTTCGCGAATCCTAATATTTTCATTAGTGCTAGGTCAGGTGCGAAAATGGACAATATCGGCCCACTCCATGAAGAACCTCTCCCACAAAGGGTCAAATTTTTGAATAATTATAACTTTTATAATGTGATGTACGAGTCAGATTGTCTTCAAATTACACACATTATAATATATATTTTTTAAACCAAGTTCTGGTGTGAAGATGGAATTTATCAGTACACCCCTTCCGATACCTCCCCCACAAAGGGTAAAAATTTTGAATAATCATGAAGCTCACAAAACATGAAATTAGCATCCGATTCCATTCAGATTTTGCACATCTAAATATTTTCATCAACACAATATCTGTTATAAAGATCGGACCATTTCTTCTGGTACTTCCCCCACAAATGGTCAAAGAGTTGAATAACCAAAACTTTTATAAAAATCCGAAATAAGCATCCGCTTCTCTTCAAATTACACACATCCCATTATTTCTACTAACACAAGATCTTCTGCGAAGATGGAATATACCGGTCGACTCCTTCTCGTACCTCCCCCACAAAGGATCAAAATGTTAAATACCATGAAGCTTCTAAAATGCGAAATTAAAATCCGATTCCATTCAGACTTTGCAAATTTTAATATTTCTTTTAACATAAAATCTGTTATAAAGGAACCTCCCCCAGAAATGGTCAAAGTTTTGAATAACCAAAACGATCATAAAATCCGAAATAAGCATCCGGTTTTCTTCATATTTTACACATCCCATTATTTCTACTAACACAAGATCTGCTGCGAAGATGGAATATTCCGGTCGACTCCTTCTCGTACCTCCCCTACAAAGGGTGAAAATTTTGAATAACTAAAACGATTATAAAGTCCGAAGTAAGCATCCGGTTCCCTTCAAATTACACACATCACAATAATTTTATTATCCCAAGGTCTGGTTTGAAGACACCATATCGGTCCACTCCTTTGGTACCTTCCCCGCAAAGGGTCAAAATTTTTGAATAACCATGAAGCTCATAAAACACAAAATTAACATCCGATTCCATTTAGGCTTGAACAGCTCATTATTTCCATCAACACAAGATATTTTATGAAGATGGTAGAGATCGGTCGATTTTTTCAGGTACCTTCCCCACAAATGGTCAAAGTTTTAAATAACCAAAACGATCATAAAATCCGAAATTAGCATACTGTTCTCTTCTAATTACACACATCACAATATTTTTCTTAGCCCAAGGTCTGGTGTTAAGATGAGATATATCGGTAAACTGCTTCTGGTACCTCAAAATCTCTGAATAATCATGAAGCTCATAATACGCGAAACAAACGTCCGATTCCATTCAGACTTGATACACCTCAATATTTCCATCAAAAAAAGACCTGTTACAAAGAGGATACAGGTCGGACCACTTCTTCTGGCACCTACCCCACATAGGGTTCAAGAATTTGAAAAACAAAACACTCAAAGAAAGCGAAATAAGCATCAAAAATCTCTTCAAATTTCACACATCCAAGTATTTTTGCTAACACTGGATCTCTTGTGAAAGTGATATATAACTGCGAACCCCTTCAGGTACCTCACCCACAAAGTGCCATAATTTCCAATACTTATATCTGTCTGTCGAAATATGTCGGCGATTCTTTACAACTTTCTATAACCAAATATTTCTCTTAACCAAAAACCTGAGATGAATGTGGAATTTAGGATTTCACATAAAATTGGATATAATGTTCGATTTTCCTATAATTTGGCCCATACCAATATTTTAATCTGTATTAGATGTAGTATAAAAATGGAATACTTCGGTCCTCTATATCTGTTACCTTACGCATATTTCCACATTTTCCAAAAATTTGCACATATCTCATATAAAGTATAGGGAATATTCGATATAGTCCAAATTTGGCACGTTGTAATATTTATATCAGTCTTAGGTCAGATACGAATAGGTCAATATTGTCCAGTTGCTTCGAAGTCTCTCTCATAAAGGGTCAACAGTTTGAATAATCATAGCTAAAGGCTGAGGGAATACATCTGTCGGCAAAACCGACTGATACTATTTTACTAGTTATTTTTTAAATAAACGCTTTTCTAGGATTCGAAACATATTTTTTTAAAGTTTACTGTGCTCCATTTCAAATGTGCAAATTTCAATTTGATTTGACAGTATTTGGTTTGGAGATGTTAACCCCCATGTTTTTCCCCATTCTCGTTCGACTTTAGCAGATAATTTCATGAAATTACAAAAATATTCTGTCACTTTTGTCTTGAACAAGAATTGATTGCCACATTTATTCCGTATATATCAAAGAATACTTTCAAAAATAACGGTCACAAATTGAGTTATCGATAAATGCCAACTCTCAGTTTGACGTGGGTGGCAACATGACATGTTTCGTTTAATTTGGTGGAAGTTTTACAGAAAGTTATATCAATCTTTATACTCTTTTTCCAACATTTAACATCTTACTACAATTTAAATTTTAAAGGTCTTATGGCAAATTTCGATTCCTTTCATTTTGCCATCAAATCAAGGTAAAGTATACCGCTCTCTAATTTCTATAGATTTCTAATTTTGCTCAGTTTGGCAACTCTCTCTCGAAATGACCATCAAAACAAATAAACAACAACAACAGTGAGCTGTTCTTTGTTGATAGTCGAAATCAACGAAATCAAACAGGTTGTATCAAAAGGAGAAATAGTGCAAAGTAAAATATGGGTTTGGATTTGAATAAGAAAACCTTTGGCTTAACTCTAGTTTAGTAAAAACTCTTCAATTTTTTCGAAAATTTTTTCAGTGGTAGGTATTTTAACCATGATCCCGGGAAACTATTTTTTTCTTGGGGGACGGACCCGGGACCCCAGATTTTTGACCCGAAAGTCCGGGTTCGAGACCCCTACTAGACCCGGATCCACTTACCCGATATAGACAATATGGGTATCGTTGGAAAGCTTATGAAAATACCTATCCAACAAGTGGTCACATGATGGAGTAAGATCTTACGGTTCGGAAGTTATAGTCAAATTATCGATTTTTTGGACCCGGATTTTTTATAAAACCCCCAAAAAGTTAAAAAATGGTCCATTATGGGGGACAACAAAATTGATGCCAAATTATAGCTGACACTTCTACCTTTCCAAAAAGGTTCAATTTGTGCTAATACCTTTACTGAGTCCAGAGATATGGGTCTTTCCATCCGCATAACCCGATTCTAACCAGTTCATTAAAACTATGTTTTCAATAAAAAAGGTATATTTTGCGTAAGAATGAAATTCAGAAATCTTTGATTCGCGTTAGCCGGTGTAGGACATACCCAGAGGAGAAAATCTCAAGCCCCGGCCGAAGGCCGGCTACTTACAAAAGGTATCCAATTTAGAAAACTTTGGTTCGCGTTAGCCGGTGTGGGACATACCCAGAGGAGAAAATCTCAAGCCCCGGCCGAAGGCCGGCTATTTCCAAAAAGTGTCAAATTTAGAAAACATTGGTTCGCGTTAGCCGGTGTGGGACATACCCAGAGGAGAAAATCTCAAGCTCCGGCCGAAGGCCGGCTATATACAAAAAGTGTCAAATTTAGAAAACTTTGGTTCGCGTTAGCCGGTTTAGGACATACCCAGAGGAGAAAATCTCAAGCCCCGGCCGAAGGCCGGCTACTTACAAAAGGTATCCAATTTAGAAAACTTTGGTTCGCGTTAGCCGGTGTAGGACATACCCAGAGGAGAAAATCTCAAGCCCCGGCCGAAGGCCGGCTATTTACAAAGAGTGCCGAAATTATGAACCTTTTGTTCGCGTTAGCCGGGGTCGGACATACCCATAGGTGAAAACCTCAAGCCCCGGCCGAAGGCCGGCTATTTACAAAAAGTGCCAAATTTAGAAAACTTTTGTTATTCCGACGACTGCTACGCGAAATAAACACTTTTTTTATTAAAAACATAATTTTAATGAACTGGTTAGAATCGGGTTATGCGGATGGAAAGACCCATATCTCTGGAACCGAAAAAGGTATTAGCACAAATTGTAGCATTTTGGAAAGGTAAGAGTGTCAGCTATAATTTGGAAACAATTTTGTTGACCCCCATAATGGGCCCTTTTTTGACTTTTTGGGGGTTTCATAAAAAATCCGGGTCCAAAAAATCGATAATTTGACTATAACTTCCGAACCATGACAACTTACCCCTTCATGTGACCACTTGTTGGATAGGTATTTCCATAAGCTTTCAATCGATACCCATATTGTCTATATCGGGTAAGTGGATCCGGGTCCAGGCGGGGTCTTGATCCCGGACTTTTGGGTCAAAAATCTGGGGTCCCGGGTCCGTCCCCCAAGAAAAAAATAGTTTCCCGGGATCAGGGTAAAAATACCTACCTCTGGAAAAAATTTCGAAAAAATCTAAGAGTTTTTACTAAACTAGAGTTGTTCCAAACCTTTTTCCTAGTAACCGGTGCCTCCCGTGGAATTGGCAAATGCATGGCCATCCAAGTGTCGGCGAAGTTGAAATCCGGCTCGGTTGTTGTTTTGGTGGCACGCAACAAGGACGCTTTGGAAGAGACCCAAAAAGAAATCCTCTCCAAACGTACTGACGTCACAGTGCAAACATTTTCCATTGACCTTTCGAATGCAACAGCTGGTAGCTTTCAACAATTGCTAAGTGATTCATTGACACGCAGTGAAAATGGGCCCGCTAACTTTGAGAGGGCATTTATTATACACAATGCCGGTACTGTGGGTGATGTGAGCAAAAAAGCCAAGGACATTTCTGATACTGAAGTGTGGAGCCAATATTATCACACCAATGTTTTCTCGACGATTTCCCTAAATGTAGAGTTCTTTAGAGTGTTTGCCAAAATCCCAAAATTGGTGGTGAACTTAAGTTCCAAATGTGCCATTGAACCTTTTGCCTCGATGAGTTTCTATTGTTCCGGCAAGGCAGCAAGAGAAATGTATTTTAATGTCTTGGCTGTGGAGGAAAAGGATACGGACACGGTGGTTTTGAATTATGCTCCTGGTGCCATCGATACGGATATGACGGTTTATGTACAAAAGGAAACTGTAAACAAGGATTTACATGAAGCTTTCAAGAGTCAACGTGATAGCAAGACAATGCTCAAGGTCGCCCAAACAACGGCGAAGTTTATAAAAATTTTGGAAGAGGTTTCATTTAAAACTGGTGCTCATATTGATTATTGGGATTAACTGCAATTATTGAAGTAAAATCGAAAGGAGTTATTGGAGCAATCGTCATCCCTTTCCGGTTTGGTGTCTCATTAGATTTTGGTTATTTTATGGTGCTTTGTATTTAAGATATATAATTTTTTTCTCATACTTTAAACCGCATTCCTTCGCTCAACGTTGTGCTCAAATTTTAATTTGAATTTATTGAATAAATTTCTACATTATTTTTGTTAACAATTTAAAAAATAGGTTTTTGTACCTCTCACAGAGCTTTATGGTCATCAGTAAGAAGACGTCTTGATCATTTAAAGTAAGGTTTGGTTTTTAATAAAAAAACATTCCTTTTCGTACTTTATGAGAAGACCTGGTCGTCTGTGAGAGAACTTGCTGATCTTCTATCAAAAGAGTATCTGGTCGACTATGAGACCTTTTGGTCTTCAATAAGAAGACCTTCTGGTCTTCAATAAGATCGTCTGGTCTTCTTTGAGAAGATCTTCTGGTCTTCTATGAGAAGACCTTCTGGTCTTCCTATGAGATGACCTTCTGCTCCTCTATGAGTAGACCTTCTGGTCTCCTATAAGAAGACCTTCTGGTCTCCTATAAGAAGACCTTCTGGTCTCCTATAAGAAGACCTTCTGGTCTCCTATAAGAAGACCTTCTGGTCTCCTATAAGAAGACCTTCTGGTCTCCTATAAGAAAACCTTCTGGTCTCCTATAAGAAGACCTTCTGGTCTTCTATCAGAAGACCTTCTGGTCTCCTATGAGAAGACCCTCTGGTCTCATATGAGAAGACTTTCTGGTCTCATATGAGAAGACCTTCTGGTCTCATATGAGAAGACCTTCTGGTCTCCTATGAGAAGACCTTCTGGTCCCCTATGAGAAGACCTTCTGGTCCCCTATGAGAAGACCTTCTGGTCCCCTATGAGAAGACCTTCTTGTCTTCAATTGGATTGGTCTTTTGGATTAAAATTCGAATAAAGTCGATTTTTTTGCACGTGTCTATTTATTCCCAACTTACCCACTAACACTGGGTAAAGCGTTAACATAATGTACCTTAAATATTTCAAAACATTCATTCTAACAATTCCCATTGGTCGTTGTTCTACTCATCTAACTACTTGTGGAGTCGGCTAGAAGAAATCTGCCGCTCTGGCACGTTTAGTTGTGGGTATGTTCAGCAAATCATCTGTAAGCGTTCCACCAGTTGCACTAAGATTTGATTCAATATTTGCCATAGAGACTTTTGGCACAAGTCTTGGCGAGGCCTTAACTGAGGACTTTTTAACTCCCACATCTGGCGTACTCCTGGCTGCGCTTGTTTTCGGTGTCACTTTCAATTTTGGCGTTCTCAGCGGCGATGGTGTCAACATACTGGGCGTTGAACGTATACCCAGTTTCATGGTTGCCAAATTTCTCGCAGCCGGTGACATAGAAGCTAAACGTTCCATATTTGAACGTATAAATGGTGAGGAGATATTTGTGTGTGCTGTCTCTTTCGCTCTGCGCTTTTGGGCACGCATCTTTTCGCCAACCTTTTCGGCTAAGGCCAAAGCAATGGATTCACGGCGGGAGTTTTCGTTGATTTTAAATGAAGGTCCCACATTGGGGCGTACTGGAGTATCGGAGCCATCCAAACGAAAGGGAGTTCCTTCAATTTCACCCCATGTCATGAGGGGCGAGAAGGCTTCACCAGGTCTGGGGGAAGGGGTTTTTAGTAAATCAAAACGATTTATTTGTGGAGCCATGGGATTGTTGGTTTCACCCATAACTGTTAATTCAGTAGTTGTATCTGTTGTGGAACCAGTTTTAGGTTTCACCTTATCATCATCCTTAAAGGGTGTGGTGTGTAGGCGAGTGGCACTGTGTTGTATCACCTGACGACGATTTGCCATTTCGATTTTCTCCTTTTCTGTCAGTTCTACCCCATCTGGTGTGTACATTATGGAATTTTTATTTGTATAATTCCATGTCTCTATACATCTCATAGGATCGGGTTCTTCAAATTGTTTCTCTATGTTGGGTAGTGTTAAGGCTCTGGCCAATTTCTCAGCCGACAGTTTTTCTTCGTTGTAGAGGACTGAGAATTTCTGTCTTAACTTGGCATCGGCAGTATCCACAATTTGTTGGAAACTATCGTTGTCCTCACTGGTGTAGGCCTGCAGAAAGGAGTCCAAAGAATGTTTGTCAGCCACTGAGGTTGATTTTTGTGAAGTTTCGGAAGTGACGGAACTCGCCCCGGGAGTGTCTGCTGCACTGTTGGTGCGTGGTGTTCTTTCGCCAAAACTGGCAGGTGTTTCAAAAGTGGCGGGGGTCATGGCTATAAAGAGACAACAATAAAGGATTATTATCATTCCGGGAATATGTAACCCTATTTACTTACATCTACTCCTCTCACTGTGCTGCTTCCCACTGTATTTAGCCCTAATGGATTCCATCCGCGCATAGTCCTTCTGTTCCATTGCATCGAGGTATTCATTTTGTGCCTTCAGCTTCTCCAGATCGGGAAAAAAGTCCCGCTGTATAATTTTGGATATTTCTTCGATGTACTTCTCTTCGGTGAGAATCTTGGGTTTGGGTTTCTTTCGTATCACACCAATTTCGGATGGCCGTTTGAATGCTTCCACAGCTTGCGGCTTTTTGTGGAAATTTATCAGAGCCTGACTGCCGGGAGTGGATTGTGGGGTTGCATCACTTGTCTGGGACATATTTTGTACTTTTCGTTGGTGGTTAAATTACTTGTTTTTCTTCAGACGACGATTCCTTTCCCTATACGTTTTGTTGGATTGTTATTATTTACAAAAGCCTACCATCTGCTTTTGACATTAAGAAACAGTGCTGCCAAGTTTACGTGTGGCACACTGTAAAAATAATTGCTATGAGCAAACACAGGGTGAGTCAGATATTTCATATTGTTTGTGTAAATAAATTTCATAGATTAAACATTAATAAAACAGAAAATTGTTGTGAAACTAACACCAATAAGCCACCTAAACGAATAAAAGGGGTTAACTAGTATTGAATAATAGTAAATTAAATAAAAATTTGCTTAAAAAAACCCTTCGATAATAAGAAGATTTTAAATAAAACTACAAAGGTCCCTTGCGTGCATTAATCTGCAACTTTTTACTCAGAGTACATTTACATAAAACTATACAATTTTTTGGAACTTTTGTCATTTAAAAAATGATAAGACCGTCAGCTCGTTTATAAGAAGATCTCCTGGGCTTCTATGAGAAGATCTTCTGGGCTTCTATGAGAAGATCTTCAATGAGAAGACCTTCAGCTCTTCTATCACCATTCTATGGAGGGTATATTATCTTCGTCATTCCGAAATAGTCATGGCAGATCCAACAAAATACAGGGTGAGATAAAAAAAACTGCAACAAAGTCGAACGCCATAATCTTCTTCAAATTTTATTAAATGAAAGCCAAAAATGTCGGAAATAGCATCTAATTTTAGAGTAATTTTAGATTTGTTCAAATTGGTCACCTTTGGCGCGAATTATGGCCTTCAAACGGCTAATGAAACCTTCACACGCTGCCTGAATGTTGCTCTGCGGAATTTTGGTTCATTACTGACGAAACGCTTGCTTGAGGTGATCGACACTTTGGTATTTGTTAGTGCCAACGTTGCTTTCCAAAATACTCCAGTCACAATAGCGCTACGGATTGGTATCCAGAGATTTCGGTGGCCATTGTGCGATGAAAATGAAGCGAGGAAAATCATTTTGTAACCATTCTTGGGTGGCGCGTGCTGAGTGCGATGGTGCTTAGTCCTGTTGGAATGTCCAAGGTCTGCGGCCAAAATGTTTGCATGCCCAGATTATTTTCGCTATAATATTCGGCATTTAGTCTGATGCCACGGTCGATTAATACGAGCGGAGAGCGACCATGGTTGTTATGGCGGCCCACATCACACCACCATGGCCGGCGCTTGAGTTCTGGTGGCCAACCGAAGGTGCACATTTTTCAGCTGACCTCTTTGGCATGTAAACACGATCATTTCGTTGTTGGACAACGAATATTTTTTCATCGGAGAAAACCAAATTCGCCACTTCACCACTTTCGGACAAGCGAAGCAACAATTAAGCCCTTTGGAGTTTATTTTCTTTCTGTTGCGGTCTAAGTTCTTGAACTTTTTTGAAATTTCAATGGATTTACCCCGAGCTCATTTTTCAATATTCGTCGAATGGAATATTACGATATGTTCAGCTCACGAGCCATTTTTCGGCCACGGCAACGCGGGTTTCGATCAAGTGGCTTCTTTAATTTTCGAACTGCTTTTCTGCTGATGTTGCTGTTTTCTTCCGTCCACTTCCTTGACGTCAGGCTACGCTATCAGTATCACGGCAAGGAGCGATGGTACGAGACACAAAAGATTCATTCACATTTAAATGCTGGAGTGTTCTAACGATAGCCACTTGTGGTTTTCCAGTCAAATATAAAGAAATCACACTATCACGCTTGAATTCCATCCGGAATAACTTTTTTTCTGGAAAATTCTCACCAATATGCTTTTGTACGCTTGTAGACAATATAATGAGCTGTCAGTGGAATAATTTTAACAGCTGTCGGATGAGTGGCTTAGAAATGACAGCAGTCTGAAGTTGGTTGCAGTTTTTCATCTCACCCTGTATGTGCTTTACTCATTTATTTTACAACTGAAATGTTGTTCATGTATCACACGCTGTGTGCAACTTCTACATGTGGCAAATTTGACACTACATATGTAAAACCCTTAACGCCCGATAGCATCTTTACTTGGCGTTTATATTATCGAACAACATTTTGTAATAAATAAATTTTACAAATAATTTCGTAATCGAACACACCTATTTACAAATAAAACTGCATATTTTTTCTATACCTCTGATGACAACAATGATGTGAGTGTGTGTTCCTAATGCTCTTTGAATAAAATTCTCTAAGGAATTACACAAGTTGTCACCTCTCTCTTCGATTTGCTTGGTGACATAATTTTCAACACTTCGATTACAAATTGGCCAGATGACATATTTACTGTGCAGAAAGATCAAAAATAATAATAACAAATCTTAAGGAATGTTGTTCTTTGGATTAAGCAATGGCAACTCATAGCTTTCGGTAGCGGTAAAAGGCATAGGTCTTATGTGCCACATGCCTTCTGTCGTGGAGATGTGCAACCTTGTCATCGAACACATTAATAACGGTGACTGCAGTGAATTTTATTGCATTTAAATGGGGGGAGGGGATGGGAGAAGTGTGCAAAGTGTTGATGCTACAGTCTGTAATAGAGGATTGTATTGGGCGCCAAACACCACAGAACTTGTAGTTACAAATTTACAGATACATTACAGATTTTTTTTCCAAATATCTAGTTTGTGAGAGCTATGAAAAGAGAAATTTTGACAGTTAGGCAACTGAGAGTTTTCAAACTCTTACTGGGAAAATTTTCTCAGAAAGTATTACAGGGTGGGATGAAAAAACTGCAACCAACTTCAGACTGCTGTCATTTCTAAGGCACTCGTCCGACAGCTGTTAAAATTATTCCAGTAACAGCTCATTATATTGTTTACAAAATCATTTTGGTGAGAATTTTCCAGAAAAACTTATTCGTGATGGAATTCAAGCGAGATTGTGTGGCTTATTTGGCAGGAAAACCACAAGAGGCTATCGTTAGAGCACTCCAGCAACATTCAAATGTGAATAATTCTTTTGTATCTCATACCATCGCTCATTATCGTGATACTGGTAGCGTAGCCAGACGTCAAGGAAGTGGACGGAAGAAAACAACAACATCAGCAGAAATGGTGCGAAAAGTAAAGAAGCGAGTTGATCGAAACCCGCGTCGCAGTGGTCGAAAAAGCTGAACATATCGCAATATTCCATTCAGTAAATATTGAAAAACAAGCTCGGTGCAAAGCCATTGAAATTCCAAAAAGTGCAAGAACTTACAACGCAACAAAAAGAAAATAGACTCAAAAGAGCTAAAGACTTGCTCCGCTTGGCCGAAAGTGATGAACTGCCGAATTTGGTTTTCTCCGATGAGAAAACATTCGTTGTCCAGCAGTTTGTAAGCAAACAAAATGATCGTGTTTACTTGCCAAAGAGGTCAGCTGAAAATGTGCACCTTCGGTTGGCCACCAGAACTCAAGCGGCGGCCATGGTGAGAGTGTGGGCCGCCATAACAGCCGATGGTCGCTCTGCGCCCGTATTAATTAGAATAAATGCCAAATATTATTATTGAGAAAATATTTTGGAGGGTGTATTAGAGCCTTGGGCACGCAAACATTTTGGCCGCAGACCCAAAAAATTCAAACAGGACTCAGCACCATCGCACTCAGCATTTTGTCATTCCGTTTGTAGCTCCTCGAAATACTCATGTCAGACCCAACAAATTATATATATTCTTGATCAGCGTAAAATTCTAAGACGATTTAGCCATGTCTGTCTGTCTGTTGTAATCACGATATCTTTCGAACGAATTGAGATAGAGGGCTAAAATTCGTAAATGGGCTATGTAGGTCCACGTTTTCATATAGCCCCCATATAACGGGACCTCCCGATATTCGGTATTTTGATGATTTTAGCGACTTTATTCACCGGAATTGTTTCAAATTTGGCATTTGAAGTTCGAAATGGATACTACAGCCTGAGACAGAAAATTGTCTGTGCAGGTCCACGTTTTCGTATAGCCCCCATATAATTGTACCTCCCAATATTCGGTATTTTGATGATTTTAGCGTCATTATTCACCGGAATTGTTTCAAACTACGTATTTAGAGTTCGTAATGGAAACTACAGTCTGTGACAGAAAATTGTCTATGCAGGTCTAAGTCTTTGTATAGGCCCCATATATCAGTACCTCCCTATATTCGGTATTTTGACGATTTTAGGTACAATACTCACCGAAATTATTTGAGATGTCGTATTTGAAGTTGGTAATGGAAGCTACAGCCTGTGACAGAAAATTGTCTATGCAGGTCCAGGTCTTCGTATAGCTCCGATATAACGGTACCTCCATATGTATGATATTTTGATGATTTTAGCTTTATTTCAAGTTTCGAATTTGAATATGGTAATGGCTTGTAACAAAGAATACCTATGCAGGTGCACGTCGTACAGACTCTAATGTAACGGATATATTCGATATTTTTAAGATGTTAGCAGAATTTTTGGCAAATGTTATCTTTTTCGAAAATTTCCAAATTCGTTCTAAATGGTGGAGGGTATTCAAAGTTCGGCCAGGCCAAACTTACTGCTTTCTTACTTGTTTTCTGAATGACTCGAACATTGCCATTCCTTTCAATTATTACTTCCAATGTGTCCACTCCATAGAACTCACTATCGGAATGCACCACCAAAAATATTCACATCTGTAAAATACCACTCAAATTATATTTCCTATTCTTTGCGCATTTGCTTTTGTTTTCAGCCAAACATTTAATACTTGCTGAGTTTGTTATTTTTGTCTCAGCCGATGATGGCTATTCCTTTGAATTACGATCACCATGTCGACGACGAGAGAAAGAGAAAAATTAGCTTCGTATTCAAAATGTAATTATCCTCATAATTTCCAATGAATCAAAACTTCAACTTGGCTGGGGATGCTGTTCATCCATTGCGAAGTTTTATTAAATTGAATTGATGAAATGCTTGGTATGACAATGTGCCAAGGATATTGGGCGGGATCAAAACTTGCAGTAAAATAAATTGTTATATTTATAAAAGTGGAATGGGCCTTAAATAAGATCATATTTTTGTAGAATATTGAAATACCTCCTATAACATTTAAAAATTTGAAGCATGAAATA